CAGTTAAAGACAGGTGTGATTACACACATTGGAACGGAACCATAGATAAAGCACTAAATTTCATTACATTCGAATGAACCCCGTGAGCATTCTGCGTGACAAACACGACTCCAAGCAAACATCCTAGGAGATGAGATAATGGTCAACACTGGCTGGAAGCGTATACCACAGGGACCCAAGCCAAACGATGGAAGACGAGCCCAGCGCACTTCCAGAGAAGCTAGTCTCAGCAAGAGCTGGACAGAGGTTACAGAACCAGAACATTGATCAACTAGTTGAATGTGTTTCAGCAAATCCCCCGTGGGTTTATTTTTGCCAAAAGGCCGCCATACCCTTGCCAGTGACAAAAACACAGAACTTCTCAGGAGGAAAACCGAGAATGTTCTAGGGCTGAACACCTTAACTTCCCTGACTGGAAGACCTTTAATGATGCCATGGGAAATTAGCTCCAGTTAAGGGTGGGATGTGGAAGGAGCAGTGGTCCACAGAACGAGGTTGGTGGGTTTTCCAGGCACCATACCCAGTGGTGAGAGTTAAAACCCTAACCCTAAACCCTAACCCTAACCCTAACCCTAACCCAACCTTTCTCTACGCTATAAAACTACACAACACTAAAGCACATGCTGCTCCCTCACCCACACGGACCAGCTGACTCCAGATGTTCAGAGGCTGGGATCCCTGCGGCCCCGTACTCTGCTGCTGCTGCTGTGGCCGCAGCCAATTCCAGTTTTTCTTCCCCTGAACCCCCATTAATTAGGCACATCTGGATACTCATCCACGAGCCAAAAACTGTCCCTCAGGAGAACAGGACAAAAAAAACGATGGTTTTCATTAAATTGTTCATACGGTTTGCTGTCAGCTTCACAAATTTGGTAGTGCACTGGATTTTCCTGTAGGAAATTGGGCCCACGCTGTCTCCCAGAGGGCGGACTCCATGATCTGTCCAAAGGACAGCAAGTCGATCATTTTATCAACTAAATACAAAATATCCCTGAATGGTATCTACCCCACTAACAATTGTTCATTTCTAGGAACGTTTACTGGTCACTGCAATTAAGGTATGGAAACGTTCAAAGTGTCCAGTGTTCCTGATGCTCCCAGAACGTTACACCACTACTGCAACAACTACTGAGAATATTAACAAATCAATAAATGAAGGGTATGGTAGGGCAGTGGGGAGCCCTGTGGCTGTACACCACGAAGGTCATGGGCTCAAACTATACACACATAGCATTTTTGTTTTTTAAAGAATGTTCAGGTAATAATGTTATCATGCTGACGCTGACAGAACCTGTGTTACAAAGTAAAACATGGAAATTAACGTTACAGTAAGAACGTTCTCTGCCAACCTCGAGAGGACCTTCACATAACATTGGCTGAAGTTCTGGGAATGTTCCCTGCTCTCTAAACAAATAAAAGGTGTTCATTAACATTTGAAATAATAATAGTATAATTTTAAAAACACACAAAAATTAACCTACTTCCTGTTCATTTTCCGGGGAAAATACAGTAGCAACCAGTTTATTTCAGGCCTTATCGCAAAACAGGAACTGTAAGGCCCTCTGAAATTCTAGAGCGTGAAGGAGTTGATAAGTTGAAACAACAAATCTCGACACACCTAGAGATCGGCGTAATCCCTATTGTTTCTCCACCAGCCGACTGGGGCCGTTTTGCTAGCTCCCACTGCACCAGGGAGAGGTCAGGATGTGGAAAAATCCCTCCCACGGCTGAAAACACACGCAGCGTGTGTGAGTATTTGAAGCACATAGGAAAATCTGCCTGCGCAAAAGAAAGCTACACATGGGTGTTTTGTGAAAGCCTGGACCTCTGGGGAATTGCAGGAGGTGACCCAGCCAACATAAACACAGCTGAACCGCAGCCTTCCGCTACACAATTCCATACACACGCGTGCAAATGCACATTACACGTGTGCATAAAGTCAACACGCTTCGTTCTGCACCCCGTTAAAACAGCTCTGTCCATCCTGCAGGGTGGCATCGGCGGGGCACCGTCTGAACCCTTTCCAAGTGTGTCAAAGTGACGAGCTTTGTGGCTTTTCATTTACCAAAACAATGCCATCCACCCCCTAGGAACAGCGTCAGGAAAAGATGAGTGTGTTACAAGAAAGGCCTGATGCACCTCGATGCAAACAGAAACAGCAGGAATCCTGGGAAGAAAGATCACTAACAAAGAAACTCTACACAAGTTCCCAATAACAAGAACTCCCAAAAATGCCATCCTCGGACCGAACTTGGAATTTGCGAGCAGGACAAACAGTCAGAACTGAAGCAACAGCAAGCCAGGAATTCCAACTAATTTCAAACAGACCCCCCACATAAACTGCCAAACTGTTTATGTTACCCTTGACATTGTACAGTGGAAAATATTTCATGTTTTCTACATTATCTACAGAACTGAAGGATTGAATCTACATAGGTCTTTGTCAAGAGGGGCAGGAATAGCTACTCGAAAACAAAACTCCAGTTAAAAACTCGATAAAAATCAGGGAACGTACTGGCTGACGTGTTCGTCAAACATTCAGTTAGCGATACTGTCACAGTCCAGTAAGCAGCATTAAGCTCCTACTGGTCCTACTGAACTGGCTTTCAGATACCAGCATGCTGAACATGCCTACACACACCTAAGCTGAAATTACTATAAACATGAAACTACCTAGAAAAATGTCATCATGGTGGCTTCACAGCAGCCATTTCCCTTTATGGACTTTCACACTGCCCTGCCTTGCAAATTTATATAAAAAAAATTCCCAGGTCATTTAACACTGAAATACATATAACCATTCTGTGACCACAGTCAGTTTGTATAAACGGATAGAGGCAGCTGGTTTGGCAGCAAGACTTTGCTTACATGTTGTACAAAAATACAACTACAGTCATGGCTTGGTTAACGACGTCCTGACTAATGTCACGCTATAATGACGGACCTTCCATAGAGATACAATAAATTAATTCGAATAGCGGTGAAACGTTAAGAGGTTGTCAAACATATCAAATTAAAAGTATCCATCCATCCATTCATTTTCTGTACCTGCTCACGGGGACCGGAGCCTATCCCAGAGACTACGAGCACAAGGTAGGGAACAACCCGGGATGGGGCTGGAACCCATCGCAGGGCACAGTCACACGCCATTCACACCTACGGGAAATTTGGTAACTCCGTTCAACCTCGGCATGTTTCTGGACTGGGAGGGGAAACTGGAGGAAACACCACAGTGACATGGGGAGACTCGAACCCGGGTCCCCAGAGGTGTGAGGTAACAGTACTTACCACAGCACCGCCTGTATTAAAAATATCAATTTTATCATTTAAATTTGTATACAATTAAAATGCAAAAAGAAAGGTGCAGTATAATACAGTACAGCACTATATTAAATGTATATGATTTTGAAGATAGTCTCTATTGTGATGTCATTGAATTGTCTTAATTTCTGTGCTTCACTTCAAAGATAAGAGAAGACCACCAAACACCAAATACTCTATGCAACTGGTAAGTACGGCACATTACAGTAATATTACAGTATTAATACTGGTATTAATTCATTATTATTAATCTATGTGAACATTATGTATGCATGCTAATGTTAGGCTAGGTTACCAGAGGGTAGGTGTATACGTTTAATGAAAATCCAGTAACGTGTCTCTGGCCGGAACCATACGCCCTCGTTAAGCAAGACAGAAATATATTTAACAGCACCGACTTGCTATTTTAATACAGATTAATCCATCACTTTTAAATGAAATACTTGGCAGCAAACAGACAGCAGTAAAATGATACTTGATGGATCGGGTGGGAATTATAAATCTGGTATGTAAAACGGGCCCATGTAACCAGATATCCAGTGGGGCACACAAGGAGCACTGGAATAAAAACAGGCTTAATTGAAAACTGGGCTATGTGACAGCCAAAATGAGTTTTTCTTCCAAAGCAAAAATCAGATAATTATATTGCTTTGATGACCCTGTTCTTTACCCTGTGAGTGTCACAGGTCTTCCTGTATAAACCCGACCCCAGGCAGCCCTTCCAGGCAGACCCTGGCACCAGCCTGGCCTCCCTTCCCCCGCCCCGACCGGCATTTACCCAAGAGTCTCCACAGAGAAAATAAGGCAAAGCAGCAACGATCTGTGGAGCAAAAAAAAGCCTTAGACCTTGAGAAACGCAATCCCTCGCTCAGAAGTGCCATCCCAGCAGGTTCCACGTTAAGGACGGCGGAGAGCCAACTGGAGCTCAAATCACAGGCCTTTCTTTACTGATCCCCATTCTGCAATGTGGGAGCCAGGAGCTAGACCGGCAGAAAGGACAGAGTAGCAGAGACATGGCCATGCAAGGAGGCCCATTGGAACCACCCTCACAGCTAACCTACAGGAGCAGGGTTGGGTTTGCTGTTTCTGGGGCCCCACTCAGAAAGTCACTTTAGGGCCCCTGGCCCCCTTAGTGTAGTGACCGTTTGTGGCCAACAGGGGGCCCCCAAAGCTCAGGGGCCCCATGCAAATGCATGGTTTGTGGTGGTAAATAGCACCACTGTAAAAAAAAAAACCCCTACTGACAGTTAGATCAGTTGAGCTCAACGTAATGGTAAATTCATCTCATCTCAATGTCATGAAAAAAAGAGCAATATTAAAAACAGACTCAAAGCACTACAATAATACTCACTCCATCATACTGCTCACAGACAACCAATATCCTCTCTGTTCAGATTCTTAACTCGCACTCCTGTAAATATGTCTTAAATGGAAAAACAAAGATGTTTTAAACATCTATCACGTTTGAATGAAAAAGGAACGGATGATGGGGCAGTACAGCAGATTCACACCTCCAGGACTGGAATTTCAATTCCTGCCCCCACCCTTTGGGAGGTGTGCTAGTTTCCTCTGGATAAACCACCATCTCCCCCCCTCCCCCTTCCCCCTCCCCCTTCCCCGATGTCCTTCTACCACATAAGTAGTTTGAAGATAGATGGGTGAAACAGATGACCACTTACCTCGCATTGACTCTTTGTTGGGCCATGGGAACCATGGTAACAGCAGCAGGTATAGCAGATAAACTAGGGACAGGGCATTGTGACGGAAGAGGCAGGCTGTGGGGACAAAGAACAGCAAAGGGTTACTTGATGGACTGGAAGACTTTAAATGCGACATTAACATTCACGCTTCTTTTACTGAAAGGCTGTTCATCCGTTTGTGCCACACAAATCCCCAGAACCCAAGTTAGCTTATAGAACACCAGGGCTGAGGAAGAAACCCAGATATTCACTTAAAAAAATGTATAATCTTCCTCCCATAAGATATCCAAACTTCAAAGTGCCGGCAAGCATGTAATAACAGAGTAAAATCCTCCTTCATGCAAAGTCATGCTTTCAACATTAAATATTAAAACCACTGCTTCCATTCAGTATTAACCTGTGATTAAACACAGCCCTTTCCTGGCCTACAGGTCCACCCTCATATGAATCAGTAAAATTTCAGAGATTATTGCAGACACCAGAATACACACATATATGCCTTTTGTACAGCCTATGTTTCCAGGGGCAGGTTTGCGATTTCTGGGGCCACATTCAGAAAGTCAAGTAGAGTCAGAAGATCATTTCCTAGCTAGGTGGTTAGCAGAACATGCTTTGAGAATATGACGCGATTTAGTATTTAGTGCAGTGACTGTTTTTGGCCAACAGGGGGCCAACAAACCTTGGGGGCCCTAAGCAAATGCGTGGCTTGAGTGGCAGTAAACACTGCCATTGCATCCCTCAACTCAACTCAAAGCCTGCGCTCCATATCTGTAGCCAAACTGCCTCACAGTAGCACTTCTCAGGACTAGTGTCAGTCTGGGCTATTCTACATCGCTGACACTCATCCAATCAGAATTCTCCCCCAGACGCTAACAGGACAGGCATCCTCACACCTGGAAGCTGATGCTCCAGCTTACTGTCTTCAGCCAAACGCCTGATGGGATGTCAGAGGTCCAACTTTAATCATAAAATTTATCACGCTGGCTTTCAGCCTACTTGCCTTGACCCTCCCCAAAGAGAAATAAGTCTTCGTGACGACTTGGACTGCAGACGCTCTTCTCTGTTTGGCTGGATTTACAGATCACCGTGGTGATATCGTATGACAGATGACACATGAGACCCTGTTTACAGGAATTAGCTGAGTGTTGCTACCGATACTCTGATTATGCAACGGCCATTTCTGTATCTGGGAGGAGATGTTTTTTTTTAATTTTGGCATCTTTCATAGTTTACAAAAACGCACCATTAAAACACCATTCGTCGTAGCACTTAAAGTGAACGGCCACATGCTACAATCAGTCTTGCACGCAAATATACAGTTTCAGTCCCATAAGAAACGGTCAATTTAAGTTTCACTATGAGCTGTTCCAGGAGTTTGGCTGAACATGAAAACAGTCATTCACCGGACGAAAAAAAAAAACGGAAGGTTCTGACTCACGGACATTTAGATTAGTCATGTGTGGCCACATTCAGATGCCTCTCTGTGTAAATGAGCCAGAAAGGGCACATGACATGAATTGCAATCTTCAATGTACTTCATCTGCAACGTATTCAAGCGCAGAAGGTTTCTCCGGGTGGAATGATGAACAGAATGAAGAAGGATGTGAGGAAGGAACAGGAACTTTGGGACAGGGGTCTGGAGACAAGTTTTTGAAAAGAGTCAGAAGTTATAAACGTCAAAAAGGCCAGAAAGAAGCATCAGGTCATGAAAAGAGCTCTCAGTGTAGAAAGATGTGGGTCAGGCATCACGGGCCGGGTGGATTTTCTATGGCCTAGAAGTGAAAGCATGCTCATGCGAGTTTTACTTACATAAAAATATTCTGAGGGCAGAACGAAAAATGATTGGTTCAGAGAGATAGCCAATCAGATCGTAGAGCATGTCAGATGTCAGATGTCAATCAGATGTCTTGGTCCCACCTCCTCTACAATCCGACTGGTTATCTCTCTGCACCAATCATTTTTCATTCTGCTCCCAGAACATTTTTATGCAAGTACAACTCCTACGAACAGGAATAAACGCACTTCAATACATTAAGGGCTTAATTTCCGTCTGATCGATTTGCTCACCGTCAACTAGCTAGCTTTTAGCTAGTTAACACGGCAGCTTATTTTACAAAAGGACACCTGTAATACATGACTCACTTTCCTCCTGCAAAGCCTGAGGCACCATTGCATCAGGTTTTATTTACATCTCTGATACAATCTGTATAACCCAAGATTCATTCATATGAAACAATATCTGTTTGTGACCTCTGTGTATGGGAGTATATAATACCATTGAAATGGATTGTATTAGCAGGAGAGGACCATATTGAATGGGCTAAAAAAAACCACAAACACACTTATTTCCTGGATATGAAAAATGGTTAAATCTTAATGAACATGTATTATATTCTGGTAAACTGAAGAAAATGTCTACGGTTTGAACTACAATAATTCCTTTCATTGGTGGAAAACTATTGGCCAGTTCAGACAAAAAGAATAAGCAAAAAGAGGCCATTTTCTTCAAAAACCTCAACAAATTATTGCCTTAAGGAAAGAAAACCCGTGTCAAGGTTCCTCTCCCCAATACACGCTGCCCTGGTACTGGAAGGGCACATATGACCCACACAGAGGGCCAGTGACTCCCTGTAATCCTGCAGTCTGAAGATGAGGCAGGGGTCAGTGTTGTGTATTACAGGCTGGTGAAGCCACTGTATTAGTTACCATTGCTTTATGGGTAATGTAGTTCGTATATACCGGAGAGATCTAGTATGTGCAGAGCGCGCGGGAAGCGGTACTGTTTTTTTCTACCTACTGCAATGAATGAAAGTCTCAGTTTTGGGCACAACCTTCCTAAATGCAAATTTTCGCCAAAAAGTCCACATTTTGCCTAGCTGACCCCCCCCCCCCATTACCTCCTGTCAGACGTAATTTAAATTTAACCTCCTAGCCTTGCAAGCGGCCCATCTGATGTGACAGAGTGCTTTCCGTGCCCTGAGGCAGTAAGGATTAAAAAAATTGAGCTAAAAATCACACAGGGAATGAAAAGAAAGACGTCAGATAGGAGAGGAAGGCATCAGGCAGCGTGAGACGTGGCAGGACAGGAGAGACCTGCGGTGCTGCCAAACGTAGCTGTAAAGCCGGCTTGTCCAGTTTTAAGAATTCGGTCAGTCAATCAAGACCTCTGGCATCCCCGCAGAAGCGTGAGCTCATAGGTTCTGGAACAGGGGCTGGAGAGAAACGCCAGGACGCTCGGGGGAGTCATTAGCCGTCCGAGAGAGGGAACAGGACTATCAGCTGCAAAGGGGTCCAGCCAAACCGGCCCGTGTGACCTCGACGCCTCCCTTGCGGGGTGGGCACATTCTGGAAATTATGCTAATTTCACGCTGGAAAAACCAACAGCCAGGCGCAGGCCAGAAGCCGCGACGCGGACCCGGATAAGCGCGCGCGAGCGAGCGAGGGCCGTCTGCGGCAGGGCGCGCTGAAAGCAGGCCTGTGTTAGCCTCAGGCACTAGGCTAACCTGTACATGACAGGGGAAGCTGCTTGGATCGAGCCCAACTAGCCAGACGTGAGACTCAGCTAGCGCTCGCTAACAGCGGATCGCAGATAACTTTCTCGCATACAGTAATGCGGCTGTTTCTGGGGAGGGGGGAGCATATAAACAGATACCCATGCTTGCGTGCAGTATGGATGGAAATCCCCCACCCCCGCCCCCACTCCCACCCCCGAAAACTCCTCAGCCCCACTGCTATTTCGGAATGGTTCCACGTTCGGCCTCAACGCCCCACCAGATGCGAAGGCACTGCCAGCCAGGACTCCACCCTGCGGTGCTAGACGGCTCTGCGGACCACAGGACATATTTAACCTCAGGACACTGAAATGGGTCACGGGCCTGGGCTGAAATGGGTTCTGTGAATGGATTCATATACACACCGTCCAAAAATAGCCATAGAAGATGGATGGATAATATTTCATACAACAGAAGACAATGATCATAATGAGCAGTGCTACACCAACCACACGACTGCAGTCTATGCTTCTATTCCACAGCTTTACATTTACATTTAATTTACTAAGCAGACATGTTCCAAAGTGAGGCAAATAGCACATTACAAACGTATGTGCTGTTGAGGAGTCGACTAGGTATAAGTGCAGCTAGGCTGAGCTTCCAATCAACACCCAGGTACAAGTGTGAGCAGCACTGGAGCAGGAGCAGCATACCATCTACCAGGCAATGAAAGAACCTAATGAAACAACTATTTAAAAAGCAGAACGTGTATCATTCAGAACATTCAGTTCAGTGGACCTGGTTTCTCATTTTAGCATCCAGTCATTCATCCTCTAGCTGTTTATTCTGGTCTGGATCATAATGGGACCTTGATCCTATCCCAGGAAGCAGAGGACACAAGGTTGTGATAGACAGAATGCCTGTGTATCACAAGACACATGCACATGCACACATACACACAGTCAGACACTACAGGCAATTCTGAGATGCCATCCAGCCTAACCGCATGTCTCTGGCCTGTGGGCAGAAACCAGAGTACGCAGAGGAAACCCATGTGACATGGGGAGGACATGCTGACTCCACATGCACAGGCTGGAGGTGGGATTCAAACCGGCAGCACTGTTGGTCAATGCTTCCCTATCTGGGCCTTCGAGGAGCCACAGCCAGACAGTCCACACTTCTGCTCCCTACCGGGGGGCTGGGAGGGAGCAAAAACATGGACTGTCTGTGGGCCCCCCAGGACCGGATTGGGAAACACTGCTGTAGGTATGAAGCTGCAGGGTTGCCCCACTGAGCCACCATGCTGCCCTAAAGCGGATCAAATTCTCACAAATCTGTTACTCGACGGGAGGCCCCGCTTTAAACTTCAGGAAACTTGTGTCAGTTTCAGTAGCCTGCTGGAGTGCGGACATGCGCTGTACATAAGCCGCCGATGCACCATGCAAAGCCGGCATTTCACAAAAGGTGACCCAAGTGGTAACCGGCGGCATGATGCCGATAGCATCTTCACACACTGGTTCATGTTGGCTACCATGGCAACTCAAAATCACCCACAGCCATTGTAGCATTTTGTGTGACAGGCTG